CTGTGAGGGAAGGAGGATGGAGGACGGTAAGAAAGCAAGAGAAATTACTAAACGGCAATCTAACAAGGTCACCTCAGGGTTTCAGGTTAGTGAAAAGCAACTTCTAGAATATGGTCTATGATCAGTATAAGCAGCCCAATTGCTTATATACCCTTCCTATCTCCAGAGTTGCTGACTAAACTTTTAACAATAAAATGACAACAGAGAACATCATATTGTAAATATTATATTTCTCTCACTCACAAAGGTGTATGAGATATTTACTAGTTTTAATATGTATCCATAGGATTAATACTCATGTGGAGTATAACACGGAAAAGTGCGGAACTAAAGAAATGTCTATCTGAAAACAAAAGCACACATTTCTTAGGATTTAAAAATATTGCACATAATAAGGTTGCACAGAAATTACTGGCTGTTTTTATAAACAGAATGAGGTATTAGTCAATCTCTAAAGATGAGGGCAAAGAAGAAAAACCACACACACACACAAATACATAAATCCATACTAAAACCTAGCGTCAACAATTAAGGAAGAAATGTGAAAAGATGTGTAAAATAGCTATGATTTCAACACTACAAAATCATTAGCCAGGGACCAAACACGTAACAAACTCTGGACAATGTTAAGTTTTCAACTTTCTTTGAGTCTAAATGACTATGAGCAATACAATCATTTCCTTTACTCAAATTCTTCTGCATGGTTCTCTGGTAAATATTAAACCATACCTTTCTGAAGCTTTCAGTGGAAATTAACCAAGATACTGCTTGCTATCCTTTGCTGAACGACTCAATTATACAGTTTCACATATTTTGTGACCCAAGTCAGAGATGCTACAGAGCATGCAATTTTAAATTAGCAAAGGTTTCACTGCAAAAAAGATCATTCAAGTTCACACAATTTAAATCTACAATAACTTTTAAAATTTAACCTTTAAATATTTATCAGGCAAACTCATTTTTTCCTTGGTAATAAAACTGGTCATGTTAATAAGCCAAGGGCAGGTAGAGAAAACAGACCAGGCAGAATTATAATATCTTTTTTTAAAGAACCTTGCCTAATCAGGGAAATTAATAATTAGCTATTTCTCTACTAACTGAATGTTGCTGAATTTCTCAAAAACAATTTAAATATATTTGACAGCTATATCAAGTTAAGTGAAATCATGCACTTGTCAAAATAGTTCACAAAAAATTGGTTCTGCATCAAAGATATTGAAGAAGAGTCAACTAGTTGGGTTTAAAGAGAACAGAAAAAGGACAAACTACTGCCCTGAACAGTCAGTGTATGTAGTAACCATATTTCCTTTCCGTTGAGTGACAGTCCTACAGTGCTTGCTAGATCCATGGAAGCTATTTTCAGTCTGTACTGTATGTCGATTGGTGGTGGTGTCAAAACCACTAAAAGAAAACATTTTCTCCATATCTTCAAACATGTCATCAAACAACCCACCTCCAAAAGAAAACTCCTGGAAATGGTGCCTTTGTCTACTGGAACCATCCTGGCGTGCCTGGAAGTGATTTTCAAAATGCTTCTTGGACCGAGTGTTTTGGTTTTGACCAAAAAAACCAAAGTCTTTAAATAAGTCATCAAAATTGAAGTTAAATGACTGCTCAAAAGGACTTCCACTAGCTCTTTGTCCTTTACCATTAGTAAAAGCACTATGTCCAAGTGTATCATATTCTTTTCGCCTATTAGCATCTGAGAGTGTTTCATATGCTGAAAGAAATAAAAATACTTTAGTAATTGAAAGTAATCAAAATTACATATACCCAAACCTCTTAAATTTATTTTATGCAAGTATTTCACATCACAAATAAAACCAAATGCTACTAACATAAAAGTCAGAAGTCACAAAAGGCAAATACTTTGTCTTATTCACTGCACACTATCAGCAGTTAGCACAATGCCTGCCTCTAGTAAATAACCAATAAATATTTGTTAAATGCTGCTATTAATACAAATAAATATGGGAGCAACAATTTCAGAGTTATTATTTGTGCAAAATCATCACTTGTATGAAAGAATTTAGTGAGCAAATTCAGAGGAATTCATTTTTCACTTACTAGTTGAAGTAAATGTTTAACTCCAACTCCCTACTCAGTTACCTCCACCCACCATTAATTACTAAATGCTCAGGAGATGCAATTTGTTTTAGAATTAGTCTTAAGTCAAAACTTGTTTCATACTTTTCCTTTAAAGACAATTGTGGCTTTGAGATGTAGACCAAGTGAGGAAGAAAAAAAACCAAGGCATTTTAGAGTCTATTTAATTTTTTTATGCTTAATATTTTTATATTTAATCTCCATAATTCATAAAAACTTTCTTAAATTAATTCATAAGTTTTGGGTATCTAAAATTCCTTTTGACATAGAAACAATAAGCAACTTTATAAATAACAAAAGAAAGAAATAATACATTTTCAACATTTTCAGATCTGAATGCCAATAAAAGTATATACTTCCACATATCCAGGATCAAAATATGTTATAATAGCCTTGAGAATCTCACTCTCACTATATTCATGTGTAGATCCCACTCTCCCTCCCGCCTCCACAAAACCTTCAAATACATACAAACTTCTTAGGTATCATTCACCTTTACTAGTTAAAACCTGTGAGACCTTGAAGATAGTCATTTACGTACCTTCTGCAATCTCTCTGAATTTTGCTTCAGCATCAGGACTCTTATTTTTATCAGGATGGTACTTCATGGCCAACTTGTGAAAGGCCTTCTTGATTTGGCGCTCTGATGCTGACTTTGGCACACCTAAGATATCATAGTAACTTTTTGAGGCCAAAATTAATTCGGTTATCATTAAAATGCAGATTGCAAAGATGAAAACTGACTGGGGAGTAGCCATTTCTAATATCCTAAAAAAGAAAAGAAAAAAAAATATTATCCATGGAACTAATCTTAAGATTTTTCTTTTAAAAGAAACTGAATGAGCTTTTAGGATTCAAAGTATACTAATGCAGTATCAAAATGTTAAGCATATATAGTGTATCTTGTATCTATTTCCATGTTATTTCACTTATACAGGCTGCACTACCCCTAAATTGGTTGTAATCTTGAGAGCAAATATAATTCAACCAAATTAAGAAAAATCTTTCTTAGTTACTGCCTTTCCACTAACACTCTGGCCATAAACACAGTAGTTACAAAAATATAGCTTAAAATGATCTCAATATCTCAATCTTCCCTTCTAGAATTCATATTCTAAAGGGATTTTTTAAAAACTTTAACTTAATGGTAAAAAAGTATATTACCAAGGTAATCAGCCCAGTATGTCTAAATTAGCAGTAATCTTCCCTCCCTAAGAAACTTTCAGTTTTCATTTCAGCAAGGTGAGCCAAGGATTGCACACAGAGAATCTCAATATTACATAATATTGACAATGCAACACAATAGAATGTAATCTCTCCTTTTTTTTAACTGTAAGATCCCAAATATTTAACAAAAAAGCATGGATAAGTGAGTTTTGTTAAAAACTCATAATTAATAGAATTTAAGATTTCTGCGAAGGCTGCCAGAAAAATGAACTTTCATAGTTTGTACTTAAGATAAGGTAAATTCTTTCTAACTTCTCAGGAGTCGTTAAAATGTTTCTCTAACCTTAAAGAAGTTTGAACCTAGAATTCAACTGAGAATTCTTGACAGTACAGATTAAATGACTTGGGATTCAAACGACCCTGTTTGTTGAACACCGTACCACAGGAGTCCTTAAGAACCTAGGATGACATAACACAGCGGACGAAAGACGCTCTGGTTTGTGCAAACTGCCTGCGTTCCTCTCCTGTTGGCTTGTTCAGAGCGTAATTAGCAGATGGATTACTTCTTCCCAGAGAGTCACTCACAGTCACGCGAACCAAGGATCAAGTACGAACTCCTGGTTTAAAGAACACAAACCAAACGCGTACTGTGACTGATCCCTAGTCAAAGGGTGGGTCTAAAACTGACAGGGAGGCATCTTCCCTGTTTCACAAACCTTACTCCACAGTTTCAAGTTGAATATACCATACTCTCCTAAAAGACGGACCGTTGCGTTATACTGACTCCTCATTCCCGAGAGCCGGGGGACGGCAAGCCTGGGCCTTACTCCCCAGAGCCAGTGGCTGGTTGGGCTGGACTCGCCCTGTCAGACCTTGCGCCGCCGTCCGGTTGTCCGCGGCTCGGGGTCCGGCCCTGGGAGGAGCTGCCCGACACCCGAGAAGGCCAGCGGCACAACCCCCCCAAAAAACCGCACTACACTGTGCTTAGGCCATCTCCTTTCTCCTACTCTCTTCCTCAAGAACACCAGGCAACCCGAAGCCCTACCGGCGACCGTGGCGGACACCGAGGCCTAAACCTCCTCCCGGAGACCCCGGCCTCCTCCCTCATTCGCACCCTCCAGCTGCAGCTGCTCCTTCAGAGAGCGGAGGCGCCGGCGCTGCGCGGCTTGGCCTCCCCAACCCCGGCCTCCGTGGCCTCCAGGAGCTGGTGCGCACCCACTGCTGCCTGTCCACCGACCTCACACTCCTGCCGTCGCCGCCGCGTCCCCTCACAGCCAGCTCCCCACAGGCGGGCCGGCCGCTGCTCGCGCCACCACCTCAGGAGGAAACCTACACGAAACGCTTTCCTATTGGCTCCCGCCTCCCCACCTGACCCTGGCGCCCTACGCGCACGTGGAAAACTGTTGTTGCCGCTCTGCCTGTGCGTCACTTCCGGCCCCAACCCCCGAAAGGGCCGTACTGAAGCCGGCAGAAGCGGAAGTGAGTCGAGGGTTGCACCGTCTTTCCGTTCCGCCCAGCCTGGCGCAGGCGCAGTGGCTCCGGCGGCCTGCATCTGCGGCCCCGCCTCAGCGAGGAAGGCACGCCTGTGCCCGTCGGCGGCCCAGGTCTCCTGTGGCCTCGCCGCAGCGATGCCCCGTTATTGCGCAGCGATTTGCTGTAAGAACCGCCGGGGACGAAACAGTAAAGACCGGAAGCTGAGTTTTTACCCGTAAGTTGTCCCTAACGCAGAAGCGTTAGCTTGCCTCTGGGTCGCAGTTCTGTGGCGTTTGGGGTTGGGGTTTGGCGTATCTCCTGTCAGCTCTATAAATTCGGCCTTGGTTCTGCGGTCGTGTTCGGCCCCTCCGCGGGAGGAGGGCGCGAAGGCTCGAGTTCAGTTTACCTGGAAATGTTCTGACATTTCTAGGGAGGTCGCTGGGCGTGTGGCGAGGCGTTGGGGCCTGTTGGAGTGTTCATAGGGCGCCTAAAGCAGTCACGTTTGCGCGATGCTCCGTGGTTTTCAGAGCGTTTCCCCACCTCCCCGGAACTCATCTCATTGACGACCTTAACCACCGCTTCAGGTGCATCAAACGTGCCAAGTGGGAAGGTGCTCTTAAAGTTAACTTACACTTTCAGTGAGTTAGGTCGCATAGTTATTTAATTCCACTTTCTCCTGACGAAACTGAGGCCTTTGAGAAAGGTTAGGTAAGTGACCTTGAAAGTTTTGTGGCCGACCCAGAATTATAACCTACCTCCTGCTCAGGGCTCTAGATACTCTCCATTCGTTCAGAGAGCAGGGTAAGTCAGGGCTAACAGGTTTTTCCCTCCCTTCCAACGTAGAGCGTTACTCTGAAACCTTTCCTAAGCGAGGAAGCAACTGCTTTTTTTTTTTTTGGTAAAGGCGAAAATCTTGTTCGGGCATCAGTACCTGTTAGACCTAACTTTCCTAAAAGTGAAGTGGCAGAAAGCGAACTTTGGAGAAGTGGGGAATACCTGTATTCCAAATTACTGCGGCCACGAAATATTTTCGTGGAACCCGAGAAGTACCCATTTTTATTTGGAAGAATAGTGAAGCAGTATTGTGTAATAAGTAAGAGGCCAGACTCCAAAGCCAGACTTAGGTTCAAATACTGGCTCCACTACTTTGTAGCTGAATAACTGTCCGTAAATTATTTAACCCTTCTAGCTAAGACCTCCCATCTGTAAAGTGGAGACACTAGTAATACCTAATTCACACGTAGTGTGTAAAAACATAAAATGGCGTTTGGCACTCATAACGTGATTAGTGTTTATGAAAGTCAACGTATTTATGTTATTCTATTTCCTTTATTTCTTGTATTTAAAAATAATTAATTTAGCCCTAACCTGGTTGTCTTTAACTTTCTTTGAATTTTCACTAGCTATTTTGTGAAGCTTATTTGACTTTAGACCTAAAGCTTTCTGTTCACTAATGACTCAGCTGCTTTGCATTATCTTAACTAATGAAAAAAACTGATAACTCCAAATAATTCACACCATGTGGCAATATTTCCAGGATTATCTTCCTCGAAGCCCTTCCACAAGTTGCAAAGAGATATTTTAGGGGGAGAAATATATGCTAGTATATTAATGGCTCTGGCTCTGAGGAGGTTTGTAGCAAAGGATCATGTTGAGCTTGATTTAACCCCATATTTCCTTGGCCTTGGATTTGGGGGCGTCATAACCTCAGACTAAAAATTCTTTTAATCTTTGTGGACTGCGTAGTTACTATTTTTAAGGAGTGAAAAATAATAATGCCAGAGGAAGACAATTATAAAGAATTTTTTCCTCAAAATGAATTTACTGAAAGTGGAGTTTTTAAGTGAGTTTTTGAAATTTCATGTGTAATCAGCAAACTAAACATTGAATTAGTTTTATTCCCCTAATAGCACCAAACTTGAAGAATTGAATTTTCTCATGCTAACACTATAGCACGCTGCAAAGTAAATTTATACTAATTTGAGAATTCAGTGAATATATACATATGGCGACCAGTTTATATCAGTGATTAGTTTATGTTTTGGGGAGAATTAATAAGACAGAGAAACAAAATTACCAAACAAACTGAACCAATATAGAGATACTGAGTTGTTCCAGAAACATATTCTAGGAGAGTTCTTAGAGATTTACCCGTTAAGAAAGCATTGCAATACAATTACCAATAAAGACATTCACAAAGTGTATTTTTTTAATTGTTTGATAACTTAACATATAGGTACAATAGAAATAATTTACAAATGGCATCCATATACATGAAATTACATTTAAAAAAATTTTTTGTAAAAGGCATATTCTCATTTTAGCTATAACAGAAAAGGTATAAACTTATCTCTGGATAGCAGAGTTCCAAGTCCTCTGAAAAGCAAATTATTTTTGCCATTAAATGCCTTTTCTCGTTAGGCGTATCATACTTATAACCTAAGTCATTGATATATGTAAGGTTAAAAAATTTTCAAGCCATGTATGAATATTATACCTATGGTAAAAACTTCCAAAGGCAGATAATCTGAGTTTTCCACGGAAGGATATCAGGGTTAAAAATTATTTCCTACAAAATACCCAGACTCTTTTCGTCTAGCATCTTACAAAGTTATCAATATTTATTTTAGGAAATCGTGCTACTACGAAGCATAAATGGTTGTGATTGGGAGGAATGTATAACAGCTGCTTTTTGTATGAGAACCTTCTATGTTACTGTTTTTTGGTTTTTTTGTGTTTTGTTTTTTTTTTGCGGTACGCGGGCCTCTCACTGTTGTGGCCTCTCCCGCTGCGGAGCACAGGCTCCGGACGCGCAGGCTCAGCGGCCATGGCTCACGGGCCTAACCGCTCTGCGGCACGTGGGATCTTCCCGGACCAGGGCACAAACCCGTGTCTCCTGCATCGGCAGGCGGACTCTCAACCACTGCGCCACCAGGGAAGCCCTATGTAACTATTTTTTATAAGTAGGAAATTATTATGTAGTATGTGTCTTGGACTGTGTTCTTGTAAAATCTTCAAAAGAAGTATAAATCACTGTTGTTTAATTCAGTTTAACTCAAACCTGATTAGACTGGTAGAATAAAGTTTTCTGTCAAATTCTACCATTAGTCCAGTTTTACCCATAAAACACATTGTAGTACGTTAAAGCCAACTCAAAATCCAGGTTACTCAGTACAGGAAGAACACGTATAAAGAGCTGTTTTACTTTTCTCTATCTTTTCTGTTTGTTTCATATTATAAAATATCTGAGTCTGTCCTTTAACACGTTTAGTTCTTGTGTCAATTTCTCTTTCAGAACTTGAATACTTGAATTTTAGAGTTCCCAATCTACCAGCTGTAGAAGACTAGAAATATTGGACTAAATTACAAATGGGTAGAATTGAGGCTGATTCCAGTAAAGAGAATGGAGGATTAGAAGTTTTATAAGATTGAGTATTCATTTATGTCAGCTAAACCATTTGTTTCAATTAACATCTCTGTATTTTAAAAATATTAATGTAAGAGCCTGAAGTTTAATACTTCTTGAATTATAGACCAGAAACCGTTTGACTTGTTATGTTACTATGAAATATATTTGAATAGGACTTTGTAGTTACAAAGCTCTTCACTAGTTCTAGGCAAACTGCACAACAGAATGAAAAAGAAATGTAATCCATAGCAAATATGAATAGATTTTATCCTTTGTAGTAACATAGGTTTTACTTGAAGGGACTCTGAGTTATGTATTACAAGCCACTCTTCTCAGACAAAAGCTTTGGCTACACATCTCATATCTTAGTCCTCTTTGCTGCAGAGATGGTATGGTAGTAGTTGTCATGAAGATGCTATTGTATGGTAGGAGTAGTTGTCTTGCTTTTATGGCACTTGATTGATAGGTTACCTATATGTGTAGGCCTGGAATCTGGCAAAATTGTTAAAATATAGCAAAGTTTTCCTTTTTTTACTTTCAGGTTTCCTCTACATGACAAAGAAAGACTTGAAAAATGGTTAAAGAACATGAAGCGAGATTCATGGGTTCCCAGTAAATACCAGTTCCTGTGTAGTGACCATTTTACTCCTGACTCTCTTGACATCAGATGGGGTATTCGCTATTTGAAACAAACTGCAATTCCAACAATATTTTCTTTGCCTGAAGAGAATCAGGTATTGGAGGCAGGGAGTAGGGGAGAAGGGGATAATGCTGAGCATGGTGGCAGGTTGCAGGGTGGCAGGTAATCAGGTAGAGGGGATGAGAGGGAAAGGTAACTGCTGGGAAAACACATATTTGAGAAAAAGAAAAACTAATTTGTGCTTTTACTGAAAGTGTAATAATTTTTTAAAGATTTAAACCATTTTGAAGCATAGCTTCAGAGGAGCCAAGGATAACACATACATAAATTATCAGGTTAAGTTATTAATGTAAATTAATGATCTAGATATTTTACTGGTCTTGTGAGTGATCTGAGATTTTTTTCCATTATACTGATATATTGATTATGCATAATTTTTTTAAAAAATGTTTTCAAGTATATTTTGAGCTGCTGTTATATACTGAAAACATTTTTTTAACTGAATAAATTTGCTTGGCCAGTATACTGCTCATAGTTGTACTGAAATAGTCAGCACTAACTAATAAGGGAATAAGCCTAGTAAGGACATCTTTATTAGAATTTGAAAATATTATTTTATAGGAGAAAGACCCTTCCAAAAAAAAATCTCAGAAGAAAAAATTGAAAGATGAGAAAGAAGTATGCCTAAAAGCCAAGTCAGAAGAGTCATTTTCATCAAATGAGCCAAAGAAGAATACAGTTGACACAGACGTCCCCCCTGAACATGCAGAATTACTTGATTCATCTGCCTTGGTAAAGCTACCAGATCCAAAAACAGAAAGTTTACAAAATAATGTATTAACTCTTAATCTGCTTAAACAAGATACCAGAAAATCAGAACCTACCTTGGAAACATCAGTTAGTCAAGACATAGGTATAGGTGGTTTTCACACATCTTTTGAGAATCTAAATTCTACAACTATTACTTTGACAACTTCAAATTCAGAAGGTATTCAGCAGTCTTTGGAAGCCCAAGAAGTGCTTGAAATAACTACCAATCATCTTGCTAACCCACACTTCACAAATAATTCTGTGGAAATTAAGTCAGCACAGGAAAATCCATTCTTGTTCAGCACAATTACTCAAAGAGTTGAAGAATTAAACACAAATAAAGAATCTGTTATTGCCATTTTTGTACCTACAGAAAATTCAAAACCTACAATTAATTCTTTTATACCTGCCCCCAAAGAAAAGGTGGAAATGGAAGAAGACATAGATGTTGAAGACTCATATAAGGATGTAGACAATGAGATGGAAGTTTTACAGATTGAGCATTCTTACTGCAGACAAGATGTAAGTAAGGAACATCTTTGGCAGAAAGTCTCTAAACTACATTCAAAGATAACTCTCCTTGAGTTACAAGAACAACAAACTCTAGGAAGATTGAAGTCTTTGGAAGCTCTTATAAGGCAGCTAAAACAGGAAAACCGGCTATCTGAAGAAAATGTCAAGATTATAGAAAACCATTTCACAACGTATGAAGTTACTATGATATAGGTTAAAGAGGTTTTAAAGCTATGACTTTTATGTAAGCTTTTTGTTTGCCAAACCAAATTATATGTAAAGTGAACTTTTTCCTGTGTAAAGTTCTTATCTTAATGAAGCTAAGCAAGTGCTCTAATGTTATGAACTGCGTCCTGTTCTTGTAATGCTCATTTTTGAGAAAAACTAGAGAGTTGTTGGGTAGAAGAAGTGTCATTACTTGTTAATTTTCCAAATTTGAAGTTAAAATGTAGTGAATAAATAATATGGTTAAGTCGTAAAATGAGAGAACACGGATATGGTAAACAAGAGCCCAGAATAGAAATCAGGCTCAGGAATCAGTCTTGGTTCTACCATTGACATGTGACTTGGACAAGTTACTTATCAAGATTCTCAGTCTCTAATCTGTAAAAAGAGGGCACTTAACTAGACCTCTAACATAGTCTGTTTCTTTATAGTTTCTTGCCTTTTTAATTAGATACTTTTAATAGAACAAGTTTTCTATATGATAATCTTATACTCACATAAAACTAGATGCTGGCTAGCATTTGATATTATTAACTGTTGGATTCTTCTCAATATTTATTAAATTATGTGTTTCTTGGCCTTTGGGCTATAGTTTTCTGTGTTATAAAGGAAAATACTCCAGTTACAATTTTATTCCAATTGAACTAAAATAAGGAATCAACCATTAGCCCAGTTCTTAGGAGAGGTACTTTAAACTTGAAAGAATATGTACCTTATATGTGGCAGACCATCATAATACACAGTCATTTAAGCTTCTTGACACCTTGTATTTAAGGTTATATTTATAAACCAAAAATTTCAATGAGGTTAAATTTTTTAATACTTTTTAAAAATTATGGTTTTTATTTAATATGTGTAACTTTTAAAAATGTGTGCATAAGTTGTTTTAAAATTCCAGAATGATAGAGTATTACTTAATGTTACACCTTCCCACTTACATGTATTTTAGTAAAAGAAATTATAGATAGGTGGTGATAACCTTGGAGAGACAAGTAGGAAAGAGAAATAATGGTGATAGAAATAAAATGAAACGTAAAAGCGGAGACATAGTCGTAGCAACACAAATGTGAAAAATAGATGATCCCTTAGAATTGGCAGTTAATATAATTAAATATGTTACTCTTTATGGTATTAAGCAAATTCCTGTCAGCCTGATTCTTAGTTTTCTCATCTGTTATATAAAAAATACTGTTACCTATTTTGAAGGATGGTTTTTTGAATTCTGTAAGGTAGTAAATGTGTTTTTGGTGCCAGAAAATAGGAGGTGCTCAATAAATATTAGTTGACTACACAGCAAATAGTATACTAATTGTTTTGTAAATGGATGATTATTTGGGGCCATATGTCACTTAGTTTTTTTAGGCTAATAAAATTAATTAGTATATGAGTGTGTGTCAGCTAATTATAAAAAGTTGATTAGTGGTGTCCTTATTGTGTGGCTATGGGTGGGGCAAAATTCCTTAAAATTTTTGCATAAATTATGTGTATATAATTGGTAAAGTTGATGTGATGTTATTTTTAAGTTGCATTTTGCTGGTATTTAAAATAAATAATATAGATGTAAATAGCCTTTTTAAGTCATTATAAAATATGTTGTACATTGTAGTTATTTTCTATTTAAAGTTATAGTTTACTCAGGAATAATTTAAACTAGTTGTGTTTCTTTAAACTACTAAATTATAAGTATTTAAGATACTTCCTTGGCTTTTCTATATTCAGTTCAGAATGTTCCCTCTAACTCAGTTAACCAATAAATTTTATTTGGGGGTTCTGACCAACTTTATTTCTTACTTACATTCTTATAGCAGCCTCTTAACTAGTAGTACCTATATTTTCAATCTCCTGCTTCCATATTTTCCTGGACTCTGCTATCAGCTTTTTACCTAAACTATAGATGTAGCTGTATCACCTGCACACCACCTAACTTTCCTAGCTCAGAATTCTGTAATCACTCTTTAATACCTATAGAATTAAGCAAAACTTGTTACTATCATGTATATGATCCTCTGTGATTCTGTTCATCCTGTGTTCTAGCCACACTGGACTTCTTAGCATTTCTCAAACATGCTAGACAGGTACTTGTTTTTGTGTCTTCTTATTTTACTCTCTAAATTCAACCAGTCTGTTAAAATTGTATTTCGATTTTGTTGGAATGTCATCCCTTCTTACCAGTCAAAATTGTTTTTTCTCTGTTCCTACAGGGCTTTGTCTTATAACACTGAGCTTTGTTCTATAACACCGTAACAGTGTTTACACTGTATATCATGACGTTATCCATAGCTTTCTCTTCGACTGGACTGTATGCTTTTTGAAAGCAGAATTTTTATTCACTTTCGTTTCTTTGACAATGTAATATTAACTCAATAAATGTTTGGATGAATATTTTGAATTTGCCTACTTAGAATTTCTTGGTTCTGGTCACCTAAAATCAAGAACCTTCTTAACAAATATATCCTTGATACCTTGAGAATGATTAGGGAAGGATATAGATCTTCATATAATCTTTAAAACATTCCATGTTTCCAATGGACAGTACCATTTACCAGTTATCTGCTATGCCACCTATTAACTGATTTTTGTTGTAGAAGGCTATCCCCACCACAGACTATTTCCTACTTTCTATCTGATAGTTAAAAAGGAAATAAGTCTAAGGAAGCTGTTTATGCCTACATGTCAGGGAGATTGGTAAGTCAAATTTAGAAAGACTTCATCATATAAATAATATGTGACGTTGATCTAAACATCATGCAGGTTTTGGCAAGGGGCAGTGGTGGTTTTTTGTTTTCTGGCTATGCATTGCAAAAATTTTGACGTTTTAAGGATGCTTATACATAAGGCATGCATACTACTTTGTTCTTGGTTTGTAAATTAAGTTTTATAAACTACCTTTTTTATACATAAACAAAACCAATTTTCTTAAAGCTACCTTTGTATTCTTTCCTGTACCTCTTGAGCCTTGAACTTTGACCTCTGCAGCAATAAAGCAGCACTTCTGTGACACACACAAGGTCATTTTTTTTAAGAAAAAGAATGCACAGAGTTCTTACTTTTTCTTTTTTTTTTTTTTTTCCCGGTACGCAGGCCTCTCACTGTTGTGGCCTCTCCCGTTGCGGAGCACAGGCTCAGGACGCGCAGGCTCAGCGGCCATGGCTCACGGGCCCAGCCGCTCCGCAGCATGTGGGATCTTCCCGGACCGGGGCACAAACCCATGTCCCCTGCATCGGCAGGCGGACTCTCAACCACTGCGCCACTGGGGAAGCCCCAGAGTTGTTACATTTTTAAGTGCTGCATTCAAAAGATACAGTTACTCAGAATTCTCTAGTTTGAATAAATTCTTGCAAAGTATCCTTACTGTAATTTGTGATATGATGCTGTGCCCTAAAGTGTATTTTCTTTACTAATAGACAATTTATTATGGCACATCAGCATGATTTGTTTAGATAGTACACCACTACATTCTGTTAATCATTAGGTGTGACTGAATTTCTTTTGCAGTTATTAAAAAAAAATCTCAACTTTATATATAAAAACTATATATATAAAAACATCAAGCAGGGAACTTTTCTGCATATTTTCGATCTTGAAAAAAAACCAGCCATATATTAAGAGTTGGAATATTAATGTGCAGATAAATTTTTCTGTTTCTAGCTAAATTGAACAGTTCTGCCAACTAATTTGGTGTTCAAGTACATCTTTCTTTTTTAGATTATGCTGTTTTGTATTTTTGTGGGTGAGGTGGGTGGGTAGAAATACTCATTCACAATTGTCAGAGGGAAAAAGCTACAGAGAAGGTTGGGGGTGGGGGTGGGAGACAAGATGTATCTGTATAAGAGATAAGTTCCTTCAAGGAAGGGCCTTTGTTTCATTTATCATTTTAACCTATTCTCCACCCTCTGGCTTTTTGGTTACTTGACCACCTCATCTCCAGTGAACTTTTCCTCCATTCCTCTTCAGCCACCTCATTTCTGTGGTCAGTGGTAGACCTTTGTCATCACCAGTACTTGCATCCCATTGAAAAACGTCACCTTCAAGCTCCTCATTCTGACTACCACCTTCTATTGTTTAGCACAGTTATTAGAACAACTCACACTGCAACCAACCACTCTTCCACAGTCTATCATCCCTGTCGTAGGTTCTATTTTGCAAATAATGGCCACAAAATATATCTCATCCTGTATTCTCTTCTGCAGTATATGACCTTGCCATTCCCTTATCGAGGGGTGGAGTTTATTTCTCTACCTTGTTTTTTTTTTAATAAACCTGTTTTATTTATTTTTGGCTGTGTTGAGTCTCTGTTGCTGCACGTGGGCTTTCTCTAGTTGCGGCAAGCGGGGCTACTCTTCGTTGTGATGTGCGGGCTTCTCACTGCGGTGGCTTCTCTTGTTGCAGAGCATGAGCTTTAGGAACACAAGCTTCAGTAGTTGCAGCATGCAGGCTCAGTAGTTGTGGCTCTCGGGCTCTAGAGCACAGTCTCAGTAGTTGTGGTGCACAGGCTTAGTTGCTCCGTGGCATGTGGGATCTCCCTGTGCTAGGGCTCGAACCCATGTCCCCTGCATTGGCAGGCAGATTCTTAACCACTGCTCCACCAGGGAAGCTCTCTTTACCTTTTTTTTAATCTGGAAGAGCGTGTGACTGCTTTGATCAGTAGAATACAGTGAAAGTGACACTGCCAGTTCCAGACTCAGCCCTTAATGGGCCTGGCAGCTTTCACATCCTCTTTGGAGCTTTTGCTTCCTCTTGGAATGCCAGTGCCATGTAATGTGTGATTACCCTGAGATCATGCTGGAAAAGCAGAATCACATGGAGAAACTCTGGAGAATGAGATATCAGACGTGTGAAGAAGCCACCTTGGAAAATGATTCTCCAGCCCCAGCAACTCGAGACTCAAAATGCAGCAAATGCAGCCACCTAGCTAAGCTCTTCCTGAATTCCTTAACCACAAAATTGTAAGCAAAATGTTTCTTTTGGGGTGGATTGTTAGGCAGTGTTTTAGGCTGTGTTTTCCAGAGAAACACGCTGTTCTTCAGGCTGAGATATTCCAAGGTCTGCAGTTGGCAAGCTAGGGACCCAGGAGAGCCATTGGTGTAGTTCTAGTCCAAGTCTGAAGGCCTAAGAACCAGGAGAGCTGATTGTGTAGTTCTAGTTCTATCTCCAGTTCAATTCTCCCTCACACTGCTCCCTTTCCCTCCTACTACCCCTTCCTCCTCCCCCAAGCTGAGGATCTCATCACATAATTTACTGAAAAAAAAAAAAAATTATAAACACCTCTATAAACCAAAACAATAGAGTATTATACAGTAGTTAACATGAATGAACTAGATTTACATGCATCAACATGAATAAATACCCAAACTATGTGAAAAAAGGTAAGTTGCAAAAGGTTTGGTAACAGTCTACTACTTAATTAAAATTTTAAAATACACAAAACAGTAATACATGTTGCTTATATTTACATTCCTATGTAAAGGATGAAAAAGCACACCAACTTCAGGTTAATGATTACCTCTGAGGAGGCAAGAAGGGGTGATGGTGGAGAGATTTTATGTGTCACTTCTTTAAAAAAATAAGTGAGCTAAATAAAGACAAAAATATCTATTGAAATAATAGATACAGGTTTGCTTTATTACTCTTTTTAAAATGTTTCAGAATTTAAAATAACATATTTTAGTTGAAATGACGAAAGAGTGTGTTAGGCTTATTAAAGTAACTCTAAAGGTCAACTCTGATTAGACGTCATTCTTATAGTTTTGTTATGATTGCTCTTTGTTTTAAGAACATTTGAGGGGGAGTGGGGATTTACAGTGAAAGACTTGATGATTTGGATTCAGTAAACTTGGGATTGAAGTTAGGCACTATGGTAGGCAGAAGAATGCTCCTCTAACTCACTAAAACTCTGAAAAGGGGCAATTTCCCTTTTAATAAGTGGTTGAAGTGGCGTGGAGTGGGGTGGGTGCAGGCGGAACAGCTGACTTCTTTAGTTCTCTGCAGCAGTAAAATGTGAGCCAAATGAGGATGACATTTTTGCATATCATTTTCCCACTTGCTAGCAAATTCTAGTTTCATGTCTCTCCTCTGAGCTTGTAATGACGCACTGGCCCACTTCTCTATTCCCAGAGAAAATAAGAACCAGGCAGTACTGGAGAGGATAACATAAAACCTTTACAGGCGTGAGAGTAGGTTTAACTCTAATATGAACTAATCAGCTAAATTGTTTTAATATAAATTTAGAGCTATTTCCATCCCCAATTTTGAAATAAATAACCTAGGTTTAATTAATATGATATATATTTAATACTTTAATAAAAGAAGCTTTAACATAATAATCTCACTTTACTCACAATCTCAGAGAAACCCTAAAGACAGCCCATCATTAATCATTAGTCTGTCACAAACACCTCAGTGGTTTTGTTCCAAGGTTCAGGTTTTTAATAGTCTTCTCTATGGCATGTATATAAATAGTATGCATTGTGTAATTAAATATGGTGACCTATTGTTCTGCATCACTAGTAAACTTAATCACCTGTTCCCTCTCTGTAAATTCTACACCTTCTAGATAATGTAAGAGAAGCATTTTCTTATATTTTCATACTAGAGATAATTCATTCCCTCAAATGGACATTCCTTTTCAGACTCCACCTCTATGTCCCCCACACTTATGCCAAGGGCTCTAGATTGCCCTGGATCCCAGAGTCTTGGGCCACAGTATTGACTATCTCATGTATCTGTGCTGTTTTATTAGTGTTAGCTTTTCCATTCACGACTATCTGTGTTTTGTCTTCTCTTCAGGCATTGTAATATAGTGTTGTATTTTTGTCAAGTGTAAGGTCATTGAATGACCCTATGTTTTAGAAGGACTTGATTACATACATTCAGGTAATGGAAATGTGACGAATATTCACTATTGGAACTGGAACCTACAGATTCTAAAATATATGAGATTTATTTTTTTATTTTATTTATTTTTGGGCCACGCCATGTGGCATGCGGGATCTTAGTTCCCCAACCGGGGATCGAACCCATGCCTCCTGCAGTGGAAGCGTGGAGTCCTAACCGCTGGACTGCCAGGGAATTCCCAGAAATGTATTTTAAATGTTCTTATAGATGTCTTTTAAATTAAGAAATTTTAGCTTAAATAGCCTAACAAATTAGCAAAATATCTTATGTTGGGTGAACTATTAACATATTCTTCTCTTACTTCAGTTATTTGTAGTAAAATATATTACCTAAGGGGATAAAAATATTAAAACTACTTTTTAATTCTCTGATAATCACACAGGGATGCTATATTAATAAACACATATTCAGATTTTTCTGTATATTTGAAATGTATGCTTTATTTGATATTTAAGAGAAAATATATGATAAATAATTATATTGATTATTATATAT